AACAATAAAAGTAAACATAAATGAAATTATGATTGATTGCGGAGAAAATATTAGATCGCATAGAAAAACTATTTGAGCATTCAATGTTAGAATTTTTTCAGAAGTTTTCTAAATAGTGTACTGAGGTCAATCTCAGACTGGGAGTAAATAGATCCACCCGGTGAAGTGACAAGTATGGCTGTGAAAGCAAGTGAATCTGAAAGAAAATGTATTTCAGTGTGTATAGCACACCACCATTTTGGAACGTCAAGGGCAAATATAGAAGCAGAGTTAACAAAAAGTAACAGTATAAACAACTTTCTTTGAAATATAGAAAAATACAAACTAGTTTTTTCACATTACCGAATAATTTATCAAAGATATGGTTCAAATACTTTATACATATATTATATGGATTAGTTAGATTGCCATCTAAGTAACTTTGCGATACGTTTGCAGTATTTTGTACCATAAAGAAAAACTAGGTGTCAAAAAAATTGCAACACCTCGAAAAAGCATACATTTTTAAAAAATACCAATAATTTATGTCAATAAAATGTTACATCCCCACGATTGTCTAAATCTACGAAGCATGCTCTGAATGTGATGATCAATGGTATCTTGTGGAATCTCATCCCAGGCTTGCTGTAGAAGACGACGAAGTGTCTGGAAGGTGTTTGCTGTTTGTGGTAAACGCTTTATATGTGTGGGATATATAAATCCGGAGAGCGAGCAGGAAAGGAGAGAATTTTTCCTCCTTCTACTTGTAGGAAGTTCTGACAGATGAAGTCGGGCATTATCCTGCTGGAATATGATGTCAGGGCGTTCGTTTAGCCTGGGTATTACAACGGGCTATAAAATCTCGTGGATGTATAGGTGTGCATTTAAACTACCAGGGATGACAACTAGAGATGACTTATATCCCAACGATATGACACCCAATACCATAATACCAGGTGTTTGGCCGCTGGACCTCGAAGGGCAAAATCTAAACTGCGCCGCTCGCTACGGAATTTTTGTACCATTACCCGTCGATCATTTTTCCACAAACAGAACCAAGATTCGTCGCTAAACATTATGTGATCCCATTCATCGATCCAACGTTGTCTTTCTTGGCACCATAGAAGTCTGTCTTTTTTGTGAAGTTGTGTCAAAGGTAGACGTCGTAAAGGTTAGTATGAGTGGAGATTAAAAGATGAAATTCGTCGGTACACAGTTCTTCACGACACTATCTGCCTCACATCTCTCATCCAATCAACACCAATTGCAGTCAGAGAATGAAATCTGTCTCTAAGACTTATTTGTCTAATTAGACCATCTTCACGCTCGTTGATTAAGTCCATGCTTGAAGCACTATTGAAGGGTGTCAATTCAATCTTCGACCAATTTCACGAATTACCAATTCTAGGCATTGTTAGCAATCGAAGAAACGACGTTCACTCACCAAATGGTATTTACTTTGTGATGCAATTTTAACTTTCCTGTTACAGATTGTCTGTTTCACAGTCAAAAACCATATAAACACTTGCAATTCTTTGTGTATCGATATGATCTTTTTATCACCGACTTTTTACATTGTTTAGTTAAGATTCCAGCTTGGTGGCTCATCTTTTTCGAGATATTGCAATTTTTTGGCACGTAATGTATATTTCTGTGCTCGTAAATGTCTTTAATACAAAAATTGTGAAGCTATTGTTAGTAGCAAATATTTGTTGGTGTTAGAAGCTCTGCAAAAATTGACGTCGATGGTAAGAAATTACATTTCCATCTATATAAACTAGACTTGTATAATAAACTTGTCGTTTAAGCTCGGAAGAATGATTCAAAATGAATTCCAATCAATAAAGCAATTTTACGACGAAACTCGCAAGTCTCCTAATAGCAAAGTATATTTTGACAATGAAGCCAGTCATCAAGACTCTTTAAGGTGAAGTTCTTTAATGAATTGAAGAACCGTGAAGTTCTAAACCATCGAAGCAGTACTTAAACAACATAGTAGTCAGCACGAAATTTATTTCACAAGCATGAAGAAGCAAGATGTTGGTGAAATAGCCACTGAAGTAGTTGTATTATAACAATTGAATTATAACATTGTTCAGCGACAAAATAACCTATAGTTTGTCCAAATACAGATACCCACTCTACAAAGAAATACTTTCGTAGGACGTAGATTTAGAGCTTGCTGCACCAGAAATTTTTGAAGAAGCTGACTATGGTTACAATATTTGACAAGATATTGGCAATTTTTCGCTTTAACGGAAATGAAGTGTTTTTCAGCAGTAGCTATGAGAAGACATGGTTCGATGAGGAAAATTTTAGCAAATTGAAGACATAGCTCAAATCCAGTCAATTTGATGAGTAAATATCTTTGATAGAATCTGTTTTAGATATCTAAATCGCATCGTATATCTTAGGCATCATTGATATTATAAAATGCCTGGTACCGGGAATTAAGTTTGTATAGAATAATTTATCTTGGGCAAAAGTAGAACTGCAAAAGATAATTAACTTTAATTACAAAATTAAAACTTATTTATTTAACTGAATGCTCAAACATTGCTTATGTTTGTTTGTTATGCCGACATGTTTGTTTAAGACATTTAGTAATAATTTTAAGATATGGACGTTCTTATGTTGCTACATAACACTGTATTAAGAAATAAGAATAATGTTGATCTTTTATACCCACAAAAAGGCTATTATTTGACTACCTACTTAAAATTGTAGTTACCCATTCTAAAAGTGGTTTAAGGGGTGGAACATGTTGGGAATACAAAATTTACCTTCTACATAATAAAACCACGCGTTATCACCCCGTACTGTTACGCACAAGTTATATTTATGTATAACCGCGTAATGTTTGATTTATATTATAGACGTTATTGAGTATTCCTGTAACGCGGGTTCGATTCATCATTTTGTAAATATGGAAAAGATATCGATTTTCTCGTACGTTCTCGTAATATTACTGTGATACAAAAAAAAGCTTTTTTCTCATAATACGTAAAGTGAAAAATAAATATATCATTTGTTGAATTATTAAGAAACCCAGATAAAGTACAACCTTGAATTGTTTATGAGGGATTTAAAGTTTACCCACAGCAGGTGAATTACTAGCCACACCGCATCGAGCATTATCAAGTATTAAAATAATAATAACAGGTCACACCACCGACTTGGACGTTTCTTTCTGGCACGTTACCCAGCGCACGTGCTTTTAAGTAATTATGATGGGCGTTACGACTCTGGGTATACACAAGCGTCGTTATCGCTGCGATATAAATAATAGCGAGAATGGACAATTTTAGCTTTTTATTCACTTCCGGTAAAATAAAAATAAGTTTTCGCATCGTTCGTTCAACATATGAGGTGGTAATTATCGTGCGATATCAGGTGCGAGTGATGAATGACAATTTTACTATTAAAATATGGAATAATTACTGCGCGTTGCGTGTACGCAATAAAATTAATTCAAACCGAGCCGGTTTAATTAGAGAATTTAATCCGAATAGGTTCGCAAATAAATTGTCAGTAATGCCCGGATTACAGGGCCACGTTTTGAGACAACCTCCGCCCCGAGGCGGAAAGCACAACGTGGGGTACGAATCGACCCTCGACCCACCCTTTCCACCGAAAATGTATTGCATAATTCGCAAATGAGTACAAATTGGGTCATTTGCGCGAGTTTGCGGTGCCGTTTGTACTGTGCCGTTGTAAATCAGGCGGGTTTTGTCGTTGTCGTCTGCTGATACCGTGCTCTCTCAGAGAAATCGCCTTTGCTCTATTAACGCCACCCACTCCACCGCATATAGACCGCCCTTAGTTCAACATTACATAGGTTATGTACGCGATCCAATGCCTTTGATCTATCGGCTTGTGATGAACCTGGGTACACGTTGTCGGTGGTTGATTAATAATAATTAGACAAGGGGACGTTGTACAAACAACCGTGTTAATTAAATACCACCTAAAGGGGTATTTGGAAATTACACGCTGACTGCTCTGGAATGTCGGTCGTGGGTGAAAAGATCAAAGGACATTTCGAAAGATAAATTTACATACAAACGCCAGATATCATGTCCTGCAACAGTCAGAAAATATCATTTAAACCCAAAATAAGCAAAATAGTGTTTGTATTTCTTTTTCGTCACAATTTGAAACCTTATCTCCATAAATTGCTTTTATATTGAATCTTATTCAAAATTGTTCATTTCGCCAAACTGTCCTACACATCCCTTACATCGACCTTTTTTCTATCGAATCCTAACAAATCTCGTTTATAACCTCTTTCTCCTTCTACCTATAAGCCATTCCACCGTGACGAGACAGTTTTTCTGTTTCTAAACTATGGTGTAGGGTGGATCTGTCAGATTCAATGGCCGGGTTAAAGTATTATTGGAGACCGAAACAAAAAAGAAGATACAAGACTTTTTGACACATTGTACAATAGCCTAGCATTTATTAGTTTACCAATCACTCGGTCAAAATACATAAACATTTTTTTTTCTTGTTATTTGATCGACATAAATCAGGATGCGGTTAACTCAACACGCTTTCGAGATTTTCGTTCATTCGTTCGCGACCGGTTGTTCGAGACGAGGGTAAATTAAGTTTAAAGCGGCGAAGTTAAGAAAAGCGGCCTGGAGAAGTCGGTTCCTCGCCCGGTTTTATTGGTCAGTAAAGTTGGGCGTCTCGCCTCACTTCCCGATTCAATCTCGAAGGCGAGAGAAACGGAAGTGAGACGAGAACGCCGCCGCCCGGCAAAAACCTGATTACCGGAAACGAACGCCGCCAATTCGACCGGTTTTATGGAGGCGCGATTGTCGTCATAATTGCAGAAACGATATCCGATCCTTCTTACTACGAATCCATTTTCATTTGCAACCAAAGAAATTTTATTTACTCACTTATTTCTGTTATAATCCTTCGTAGCAAAAGTTATTATATCGATTACTTTCAAAATTATAATTGATAACATTTCTCGGTCGATTTGATCATTAACCCAGATTTGTGTATTACAGTATGGAAATTTGTATTACCTTGTGATGGAACTGGTCGGAGGTGGAGATCTGTGCACATTCATCAAAGCTCAGCGCAATGGAAAATTGGACGAGCGTTGCACGAGAGTGTACGCTCGGCAACTTGTTTCCGCCATTTCGCACATGCACCACTTGGGAATTGTTCACAGGTAAGATAGTTTCCGTTTTAATTAATTTCAAGGTATGCAATATATTTCGTATACAATATATCTATACATTCCGTGACGTATTTTCATTTATACGCGGTTATTGCTTAAAGAGGATCATATCTACGTCGATCTTGCACCAAACGATTGCCGATCATTTCGAAAATGAAGCTGCGTCCTTCATATACCGTATTTTCTCGAATCTTATCCGCACTCGAATCTAATCCGCACCCCGATTTTAAAAATGCATAGTGGTAAAAAAATTTAGTTTGCGAATGTAATCCGCATCTTTCTTTGAGCAATTCGACAACACCAAAACGATGCGATGCTTGTTGTTAACCATAAATNACTTCATGGTGATATCTCAATTAGTTTTTGAAATATGAATTTTTAAGAATTAACTGCTTTTATTATAACATGTGTTAGAGGTGTTGAACTCAAATAACGATAACTCTGAAAATTGAAGATTTGGCAAAATAATTTTTAGAGTATTAAATACTAACTAAATGTACTTTAATTTGTTTCTTACTTTATGGTGATATCTCAATTAGTTCTCGAGATACGAATTTTTCAAGATGAATTACTTTTATTTTATGATTTGTGAGTGTGAGTTAAATTCAAAGAATCATAATTGCGAACAATGAAGTTTTAGAAAAATGACCTTCAGGATATTAAATACTAACTAAATTTGCTTTAAATTGCTTTTTACATCATGGTGATATCTCAGTTAGTTTTTGATATACGAGTTTTTAAAGATTTACTTTCATTTCAACATGTGTTACGCAGAGTTAAATTCAAAAAATCTTAATGCCAAAGATTGATAGTTTGGAAAAATGGTCTTCAAGATATTAAATACTAACTAAATTTGCTTTAAATTGCTTTAAACATCATGGTACATCTCAGTTAGTTTTTGACATACGAGTTTTTAAGGATTAACTTGCATTTCAACATATGTTACGCAGAGTTAAATTCAAAAAATCTTAATGCCAAAGATTGATAGTTTGGAAAAATTATCTTCAGGGATATTAAATACTAGTTAAATTTGCTTTAAACTGCTTTTTACTTCATGGTGATATCTCAATTAGTTTTTGAAATATGAATTTTTAAGAATTAACTGCTTTTATTATAACATGTGTTAGAGGTGTTGAACTCAAATAACGATAACTCTGAAAATTGAAGATTTGGCAAAATAATTTTTAGAGTATTAAATACTAACTAAATGTACTTTAATTTGTTTCTTACTTTATGGTGATATCTCAATTAGTTCTCGAGATACGAATTTTTAAAGATGAATTACTTTTATTTTATGATTTGTGAGTGTGAGTTAAATTCAAAGAATCATAATTGCGAACAATGAAGTTTTAGAAAAATGACCTTCAGGATATTAAATACTAACTAAATTTGCTTTAAATTGCTTTTTACATCATGGTGATATCTCAGTTAGTTTTTGATATACGAGTTTTTAAAGATTTACTTTCATTTCAACATGTGTTACGCAGAGTTAAATTTAAAAAATCTTAACACGGAAAATTGATAGTTTGGAAAAATAATCTGTAAAGTATGAAATACTAGCTAGAGTTTCTTTAAATTGCTTCTTACTTTATGGTGATATTTCAATTAGGTCTCGAGATGTGAATTTTTAAATAAAAATAGCAATAGAGAATTATCTTTCCTCGTTTTCAAAAATGAGTTAAAACATAAAATCCAAGTAAATAACTGTATTTTCTTTGAGTTTCATTTCTAATGTCATGTCTAGTTTCATCATAATACTCTATTTCGCCATTACTTTCAAATCCAAAAATAGATAATTTCATATTTTCAACTTTTTTCTGTACATATCATATAATAAAAATGTTATACCGGCGCTTCCACCAATTTGCATCGTTGTAAATTAACAAATTAATTAAATTATTTTAAGAAATAAATTTAGTTGTGACATATTTCTATTGAGTTGTGTATGATAATAGAGCTTAACGAAAGCTAAACATACCTTATAGTTACAATATGGACGAAAGTAATCAATTTCCGCAAGATGAATATTCCACAATACATGTCTGACCAAATCTCTGAAAATCTGTTTCAAATGGATTGTAAACATTTCCCACGAGCGTATTCAGTTTTGCGAGTTCTTGTATATAGGTATAATATACGTATGTATGTATGGCCGGAGATATATCCATCGGGTGCATAAGCAATGCTCGGGCGGAGATGAAGGATGGTTGGCGCACTGCAAACCGGAAGTCGTTTCCACTTGCATATGTACCTCGTCGCTTACCTGGTTGACAGCACGGTTTGTACCGCAGACAATTTTCTGTTATTAATGTGCGGACGTGGCGCGACATGAAATGCAACACTTGCGCAGCGATTATTAATTTTCGGACGAAAGTAAAAGCCGTTTTCATAGTGTCTGGGTTACGAATGGGAAGGTGGAGAATAAAAGATTTAACTTTTCCGCGTAAATTCTCGTTTAATATTTTACAATTTAGGTCAAAGTTTATCTATGCATATTGGAGCTTCGTTTTAATCAAAGTGCAGTCTCGCCCAGGTTTGGTTTTTTTATGTGGCCGTAATTACGTATTGATTGTCATTCGAAAAGTGGGGCTGCTGCGCGAAGTTAAAGCGAACGCAGTCCGCGCGGGGGCGGAGTTTTAAAAACTGTCCATTTGGGGACGCTTTTTACCGTGGGTACTTTTTCGAAATTGTAAACCCTTCAAACGCGCATTACGCGGTCAGGAAAATGGTGGCAGTCCGAGTGAGTGGAGAGGGGCTCTCTACTCCATGAGAGACCCTGGAAATAAAACGCGGCCTTCGTTAGAAGGACTTTTTGCGATTCTCAGCGTGCCCCCCTTTTCGCCCCCGTAATGTACACCGATCGGCCGTCCGTGGCGGAGCGGGGTTTTGTTCCCGCTTTATTATTATTGCCACGCGGGGTGGAAAAGGGCCCCGTCAAAAGATAAGTAGAAGGGTGGACGGTCGTCGACAATGAGGGCCTCTTTTACGAACTGGAAAAATTGCCTCCGCACCGAACAATGCGCTTCTCTCTTACTGGCCAGTGAGAAAAAGTTTCGAAATTATACAAAAAGTTACTGTGCGGTTAAACCTTTTTTGTCAAACATGACATGGATTCTTTTATTTTTTCAAGATCCTTATTAGCATCCTTTAAATAAAAGAATAAACTTAGATTATACGCTTTTAAATTTGTAAGCTATAAAAACGTGGGATAACTTTAATTTTGTCGAAGTCCAAGCTTAAATCCTCTATCTGCGTAATACGCGACCGGCGTCTCTTTTACAGTTTCGGGTCCTCGCGAAATCGTGAAACTTCCTCCAGAGGCGCAATCTATCTCGAAAATCGGCCATCGTGAATCTAATCCAATTGACGGAGCTATTCGCCCGGGCCAGTTACCGGGAGATATCAAGTCAGCGGGATCTTCCATTACCGTTCCCAGCCGTTTCTTTACGACGGACAGGTGCGGTGGTCTCCAAGATGCGAAAAGAAGATGGCAAGAAGAAAGAGGGAATTCGGGGGCGTCTTTGGCGACGGGCGCCGCTTCGGCGGCGGCCCCATAAACCGGCGACGGTTTTAAAACCACTGAAAAGGCACCTTGTATTCAGCGTCGTCACCGCGTTCAATCAGCTCCGGTTCGGGGAGTGCATTCGTGCATTTCGCGACGATCGCCTTCCCTCTTCTATGTTAAAAATTCAAATTGGATACTGGGAAAAGTAGAAAAAGTTTATATTTCGATAGCCCGATCGGATATATCCAACTTCCTGCTCCGTTCCACCGAATTTACTTGCTTTGACTCTTGTTTTCCTCCTGCGGATCTCGATAACTTGTTCAGTTTCGAGGCCACGTGGACGAAAATTGTTTTTCTGTACTACTTAACTTTGAAGTATTTTTATAGTTCATTACAGATAACAAGTTTATTTCTTGTTTTCTAGTACAATATATAAAATGAACAAGTTGTTATTATAGCTACCAAATTTTAGCTAAATAAATTTGATATCTTTTTTGTGTAAACAGATACAGTATTAATCATGATAATCAAGGGGTGAATAGAAACTGCATAATCCCAATCCATGGATAATCCAACTTAACGTTTTTAAAATTGTTGAAATGCCAATGTTTAATTTCTCTTGTAACAACAGGATAGAGAATTGTATAATGCTTTTGCTATTTTGTTGCATATTTCTTGATTTTGCTTACTTCTGTACTAAAGATGGTTCCTTGCCTCGCTGTGTACCTATCCTAAAAATCTATATTTTCTGTTCCTATTTCATTTGCGATGTGTACGATCTGGTTTTTGTTTTTGGTTATTATCATTCCCTTCTCTTCTAGGGAGGTTTTTCATATTTGGATGTTTCTTGGTGAGATATCTACTTTGCCTGAGTACAATATTGTCTGCGTATATTAGTTCTCGCGTGCAGACCGGAGTTAGGTTGTGGAATCCTAATCTGGTTGGAATGTTTAAACTCATATGTTTGTCTATTAGATGAGAACACCATTTGCTCTTCTTCAAGTCTGTCCTCTATCTGAGATCTTCATTGTTTTTCAAGATTTTTGAGTAGTTATGTTAGGAAATTTACAGTGGTAAACATGATGTCTTTGATCTTCTTGTTAAATGACCAAAAAAGACATTATGGGCCTAAAAGATCACCATCTGTTGCTAAGACATCTCGGTTATACCAAGAAGAAAAGCAATGAGTGTCGTTGCAAAGCTAATCGATCCTTGTAAACCAAAATCGCTGTTGTGCATAGAAAAAGCGTTTACATTGCAAAGCTAAATCAGAATCTTGCTTACTGTGGATCAGAAGAAGCTTCTTGTAATACAACGAAAGATACAAGTGGAATAAAAGATCCTTTCGTAAATGTCTGTTAAAACCTCACATTCAAAAAATGTAATTATAAAGATTGCCGACTTTCAAAGAAACTTACCCAGGTCTCCTTATCAACCGAAAAAGAATAACTATGGTGAGGTAGATTTTGTTCAATTGCAAAATTCG